TCGGCGTAGAGTTTTTCTGTTGTGACCTGAAACTTCAGTTAGCAAACTCAACTGCCTGCTCTGCGGGAAAACCACTTTACCAGACATTGTAAATGTTATGGGCAATATATAGATACAATACATTATTAGTGTTGTGAACGATATAGTTTTGAGTCTCGATACTTTGTATTGCTTGTAATTAGCCACAAAGCTACACAATGGACAATTTGTGCTCTGCCCACCACGGGTATCGAAACCCGGATTCTAGCGTTGTAAGTCCGCAGACATACCGCTGTGTCACTTGGGGGGGGGGTTAGTTTTTAATATCCAGGTATATATTCTCTTTCTTACCTCAAAACACGGCATATTCATAGTCTATAAAGCTCGTTGTATATGGATCGGTCTTATATCTAATGTTTTAAAAATTTCTTTAGTGTATGATTTAGTTAGTATAAACTTTGTATTATAATTTTTTCGTCTGTAAAGTGAAAGTAAAAATCATATTACAAATTAAGTGATATTTTGGTTTCACACATAAATCACTCGTAACGTTCTTATAAAGTTTTATGCATATTTAGAACTTAGAAGAATAGCTTGACACCTTACTATAAAGACGATACATGATATGGTCTGTTAGCATCCATCACCTTCAGTTGACTGGTTCAATTACCGTAATTGTAACTATGTGCCCCCCAGTGTCACAGCGGTATGTCAGCGGACTTACAACGCTAGATTCCAGGTTTCGATACCCGTGGTGGGCAGAGCACAGATAGCCTATTATGTAGCTTTGTGCATAATTACAAACAAACTTGCAATATTTATCGATTTAATTAATGTAAACGTTATTTAGCAGATCTGCTACCACGTAGAGAACTCAATAAGTACAAAAAAAAAGACTATATATTTTGAGTGCATTCACCTCGTAACCACCATCTTTGAATTTGACAAACAACTTTCCACGAAGTATTTAACTTATTTTTCAGACATATAATAGGTTTAAAAAAGATAGCCTTCGCAACTCAACTATAACAATTCTTTTACGTGCATGTTTTTCTGTATTTTTAGTACTGGAAACCCCATTTGTCACAGATTTTGATTTCTTAAACATTTGTTACACAAACATTCAAAACGAAATTACTTACCACTTTAAGGAAGCTGGAATTGAACAATAGCACACTAAAAATATGTAGATATATCTGACCCCGTTCACCAGAAACTGTGATGAAATTTAGAATTATCGACTTTCCAACAGACGAACTCTTTATTCGCATCGTTAAGTATAAAAACAGAACAACATTAACTCCGTGTATGGAGACAAATCTCACTATCAACGATTGTTTCAAAAGCATTCTGAATGGAAAAACAGCCCAGATCAGAAAGAGACAGTAATGATTATTAGTCATAAATGAAAAATTTTCTGAGTAGGTGCTACGTTATTTGTGTTAAGCTTTTGTTCTTGTCGTGTTTCAATAAGAATTTTTAAGAAATGTTGTTACTTAATAAAAAAAATACTTGCTTATAATTACTAATAACTCGACCATCACAACTTCCATTACGTCATCAAGCTCTCTTGACCTCTGCTAATTACTGGTTGGGGGTTCTGAAGCTATGGACTCTCCATCGCCATAAACAATTGACCTCCTTCTGGTCAGTAGATCTAATTTAAGAAGGGTTGGACTTTTGAGTCTCTTCACTTAGCCCATGTTGTATAAAGTGTGAAGGCTGAAAATACCAGCCAAGTTTTCTAAAGAATAAATAGCCTAGCATTTTGTCAGGTGCTTTAAACAGCTTAATAAGGGGGTTTAAACAGCCATTTTGTCAGGTGTTTTTAAACAGCCTAGCAGTTTGTAAGGCATTCTATTAGCCTAGTATTTTGTCAGAAAGTTTAAACAACCTAATACTTTGTCGACTATTTTAACTGCCTAGCATTTTGTGAGGTTTAAACAGCTTAATATTTTGTTAGGCGTTTTAACATTTAGCTGTTGAAACCCTTGATGAAATGCTAGGATGTTAAAACGCCTAATGATGTGCTAGTCTGTTAAAAAAATCTAACAAGATGCTGGGTAAAGAGAATCACATTTTTTAATAAGACAATCAGGAAAATAATTTATTTCATCAAAAAAAAATGTAATATTTCAATGAGATAGTAGATCTACTTGTTCTTAAACACAAAGCTGCAAAATAGGCTATCTGCACTGAGCCCACTGCAGGGATTGAACCCAAATTTTTAGTGTTATAAGCCATCAAGCTCTCCACAGAGCTACTAGGGAGTAAAAAGTTTGTTTGCTTCACATATTTGTGCAAAGCTACACGAAGGCAATATGAATAGGTGCTCCTAATTTGGAGCTGATAGAATAGAATGTGGGAAACTAGCGAGATTTGACTGTCACTCCTATAATGCACCCATTAATAACTTGCATTTTTCATACTAATATAAAAGTACAAAGTTCTAGAATAGCGTATTTTAACTATAACTGTAAATAAAAGGCTGATATTGATTGTAATATATCATATTTAGATTTTTATAATTAAAAACACACAAAATGTTTCATCACTTACTCGTAACTTCAAAATAGAATAAAAAGTTCCCAAAGAACAAATATGGGCATTTTAGAATGATTAGCTTTGTGGAAACAAAAAAAAAAGTTATATCCTCAGACTTTGTTTTCCCAATTTATATTTTTGGTAGTATACTACCTTTGTTTTACATAGTGCGTTCTAGCATTATAGTAGTTGATACGACACGTATCTAGATACAGAAGTTTTACTAACGGTTTGTTATAAAGTTTGACATTCTTG